AAACTTCCACTCTAAAAAGAAGAAACGCAATGGTATTAATTGACAGTAGATATATATTATAACGTGACTATTCTCCTATCTAATTATGTTTTTTTTTGTTTCTGAGAGGAAAAAATGGATGGTGATTGAAAAAATGCTCATTTAAGATAATTATGGAAGATTTGATTATTATAATATAAATATGTTGAGGCCGGCCGCAATGCTTTTGGAAGCATTATTTTTTGCGTTTTGTTCGCTCTTCGTGTTTTTGTCGTTTCCATTGTTTTCTCAGTTCCTTAAATTCTGTATTGTAAAAAATGTGTCATGAGCATGTAAAGAAGGATGCAGTTATATTGTCTCCCTTTTTTATTCGAGAAAACATACCTTAAGGATATCTTTTGGATCCATGTTTCTGCATCTGTACGTGAGCATTCAAGTGGTTGAGAGTACCATAGTTCTTCTTAGTGTTTCTCCCTGGTAGAGCCACGAAAGAATATACTTTCTGAGGACAATCCCCGTTGGATGCGGAACCTATGTCGTTATCATCATATGAGCGAGTGTTTGTTCGATTATGATTTGCGGGAAAACATTGGGTTGGTGCTATTAAGCCGGCACTATTGTTCATGGATTGAGTGGCGGCCATGAAGTGACTGATGAGCAACGGTGCTATGATGATGATAACCAAGAGCTGGCATTATTGGAGACCCAGTTGAGGAATTCGCACTCATTGGACTAGGATCCCCCGTACCAACGGTTAAGCCAGCAGTGTTTATGACTAACATCGAATTATTACGATTGCGATTTATTGCGTTTTGAAAGAGCTTGCATTGTCACCAATTCTTGGAAGATTTCTGGAGTCAACCACAGAATGGTGGAGGCATGCCATCAGCTGTCTCTGCCCATTCCGGTTATTTTTATTCTGATGCTACTGCTACCTTTGTCGCCGCTGTTCATGCACAACAAGTTGCCGCACAAGCTACCGAATGTGCAGCAAACTTTCCTACTTCAGCTTCACAAAGCCAACAATCTCAGTTGGCGCCTAATATCCCTGTGGTTGACCCCAGAAATCTTCCAAGAATTGGTGCCAATGCATCGGATATGCAAGCTCTTTCAAACGCAATAGATCGCAATCG